AGGCGGTGACAAGGTGCCTCCCCCCCCCCCTTTCACTCAGTGTTCCCTCGATACTTAAATTCTTTTTTTAAAAAAAACTGCAAAACAGCAAGTTTGCAATAAGTGAAGTGCGAAGTCCGCTGTATTCATTATTTTGATGATTTCTTGTTCATAAGATAACTAGGAATAGGACAATATACTTTGTCAATGACAGAGCTTTATTCATTGACATCATCAGATTTGGTTGTGTCCTTAGCCCATGGATAAATGGAAGGATCTAGATAATGTCTGTTTTTTCTGGGTATCAAGATCGATACCGTAAAAGTACACTGTAGGCTTTCCAAGGAAATCTAGGTTACCTGAGGGAGATGACTTCTGATTTTGTGGTGTGTAGGAAGGCTATGCTTCAGGAATTTCAGGAGCACATCAGACATTTACATTTTGTGTGCAGGTTGTGATGCAGACTACTGCTTTTTAGGGCATCTCTGTGGAATACATAAACCTCATCACAGGATTTGGATTACTCAAGGGATTAGAGAGTACTTGAGGGTCTGGCAGGAATTTATTGCTCACTTTAATGGGATTTCTTTTCTAAGGGATGAGCTGAGGATCTGGGATGCCTTAAAGGTATCTTAGGATGCAGCTAGTTCCACTGTTTTTGGGATGTACGTATTTTTGTGGGTGTTTGTATGTATCAACAAGATACACATTAGATTTAACCTGCCTGTGATTTTATCTAATTGTGGTGGCTGTTCAAATTTGAACCAAGGGGTTGGCTAACTCCTCAATACGTTTCTGGTGAGATAATATGGCCACAGTATTTATTTATTTTTGCAAAATTTATATCGCACCCTTCTCACCCCAAAGGGGAATCAGGGTGGTTTACATGATTGGCATGATTCCATTCCCAAACAACAACAACAATTAAAAACAATTAAACAGTACAGGTTATTAATTCCTTGTCTCCAGGCCCTCTCCAGTCACTATTTCTTATTTGGGGTGGGGGGGGGGGGTGCTCGACTTCAATCACAGAAACCTGTGCTGCTTTCTTTGGGGAGAAAGGCAGATTAACCCCTTCCAAGTTCCCAGCAGCAGCCAAACCAAGCCAGACAACCTGCTTGCTATGACAGTTCTGCGGAGCAGGAGGGGTGCCCATAGGACCACAGAATACATATCTGTCAAGGCATCCCCTTCCTTTTCCTCCCCTTGGCACCTTGGGAGTCCTGGAAAAGGTCCAGGGAGCACTGTGGAAGGCTGTCATCTGTATGATGCATGCCAGTTTGGCAAGAACTCTATCCTTGGGATGTGTAGTTGAACCCCTCAGGATCATGTCAGGAGGTAGGGCATATGAATGGCACCAGCTCCACTACAGACACAATGGTCACAAACCTCCCTGTATTTCTTGCTGGGGGATTCAGTTGTTTGTCCTACACTCCTCAGCTATCTTGTCATGCCCCTTTGCCCTTATCTGTTCTGACACATTGTGTAGGATTTCATAATTTCTATGTGAAACTTTTAGCTGTGCTATCAGGTACAGCGTCTCCTGATGCCTTAGGATGGCCGTTTGCACCTTTTGGGGTCCCTTGTGTTCAAAGTGAGGTTAAGGGTTGTGCATCACATGGAACATTTGCTTTTGTGGGGATATATAGTGCTCCGTTGCAGCACAATTTTTCCATGTTTTCTGATTTTCTTCTGACTTTTTAAAACGCATTTTTCATGCAGATGCACATTGCAGTGTACATTAAGGGTGTGTGTTTTTGAAGCCACCTTCCTCCCTTATAATCTACTTCATTGTGGATCTCCTGGCCTGTGTAGATGGGAACGATAAATTGACGCTAAGGTCACAAAGAGTCGGAAGTGACTGAACGAATAAACAAGTATCTTGATAGTGGTTAACAATGAATATATTTCAACACTAGAGGGCAGGTTTTGCTTAAGTATATCTACCATCAAGTCAACTCTACTGTACAAAACCATACAGTAGATACTTATATATAGATGCTTATGTGTTCTTAAGTTTAATTTCTATGTAAGTCGGAATAGGTACACATTTAAAGCGATTTTAATGTTTTTATATATTTGTGGTTGTATGTCCCGACATTAAATGTTTGCCGTAGATATGTTGTGCTCCACCCTGAGTCCTCTGCAGGGTGAGAAGGGCGGTATTTAAATGTTTTAAATAAATTAAATAAATAAATAGTGTGTAACATTAAATGCATAGGTAAGGGTTAACACCCCTGTGGTGTTTGTTCTGCTGCCTGTGCCCCTGTTCAGAAGATTTCCCTTCACTTTTTGTCCCTGTGAAAATTGGATTTTGAAAAAAAAATGGCTTGTTTTGAAAACAAGGATTGGTGAGAAAGCTTCAGTGGAGACACCCTTTTCCCATTATAATAACTCTTTCAGGAGTGAATGTCCCTTCCTAGGGATAGATTCCCTCACTTCCTGTTGTCTCATCTCCGATCTTAACTCCGAGTCGTTTGTAAATCAGATATTTGTAACTGTCCCTGTACAGCTATCGTAACTAGTAATGTTATAATGGAGCCTTTTGTGGTAAGAGGAAATCCATAGACAGGTGGGATTGGATGGCGATATGAGTTTTAAAGGCAATTTTAGTGTATTTACTGTATTTTAATTCTGTTTTCCCATCACTGTTACTATTTAATTGCTTTTTAACTTTCATATTGCCCTTTTAAAACTTGTGTGGATTGTTAGCTGTCTTGAGTCCCCACAGGGAGAAAGCTGCAACCCACTGGGTGGCATTATTATTATTAAGTTTATTTATACCCCACTTCTTTTGCCAAACTGCAACTCCCAAGATGCTAGGGCTGTTCAAGCAGTGCCAAACTGCATGTAGTCAACAGGAGGCAATGAAGCAGACTCTGGGACTTCAGTGGCCGGCAATGAAAGGGCCAAGGCATTGACATATCTGGCCCATCTTCTGTATGGATATCAGCCAGCATGCCAACCCCTTAAATCAAGAAACAGCTCGCCTCTGCAAGAGACTACCTTATACCATGCAGCTGTGGACAAGTCTACATAGGGACCACCAAATGCAGCAATGCCCAAAGGGCCAAGGCAAAGAACATGAAAGGCATTGCAGGCTACTTCAATGAGAGAAGTCAGCCATAGCAGAGCACCTGATGAACCAACCTGGACACAGCATATTATTTGAGAACATAGAAATGCTGGACCACTCTAACAACCACCATGTCAGATAACACAGAAAAGCCATTGAAATCCACAAGCATGTGGACAATTTCAACAGAAAGGAGGAAACCATGGAAATGAACAAAATCTGGCTGCCAATATTTTAAAACCTCTAAAATCAGGACAGTAAATAAAGAATAACACTCAAGAAACAGGAGAATTCCAAACAAGGAACAATCAGGGCCAGCTTTTTTCATGTCAGGAGTGACTTGACAAACTGCAAGTTGCTTCTGGTGTGAGAGAATTGGCAGTCTGCAAGGACGTTGCCCACGGGATGCCCGGATGTTTCCATGCCTTTAACCATCCTTGTGGGAGGCTTTGGTGATAGTATGATAGCTGGGTCCGGAAGCTCCAAGCGTTATGGAGATGCCGCAAAGGCGGCTGTGAATAAGGGAAGAGAGGAGGAAGAGCAAAGGAAGGATAGAAAGGAGGGAATGCTTAGGGTAAGGGTTAGGGCAAGGTTTAGGGTTTGAGTTAGGATTAGGGTTAAGGTAAGAGTTAGGGGTTATGGTTAGGGTACGGTTTAGGGTAAGGGTTTGGGTTAGCGTAAGGCAGGGGTCCACAAACTTTTTAAGCTGAGGGCCAGGTCACAGTCCCTCAAACTGTTGGAGGGCCGGATTATAATTTGAAAAATAAAATATGAATTCCTGTGCACGCTGCACAGATCTTATTTGTAGTGTAATAAACACTTTAAAACAATACAATAATTAAAATGAGGAACAATTTTAACAAATATAAACTTATTAGTATTTCAATGGGAAATGTGGGCCTGCTTTTGGCTGATGTGATAGGATTGTTGTTGTGTGCTTTCAAGTCGTTTCAGGCTTAGGCCTTAGTTTGAGGACACCTGGCGTAAGGGTTAGGGTAAGGTTTGGATAAGGGGTTAGGCTTAGGCTTGCAGTACGGTTCAGGGTTAGAGTTAGGGTAAGGTTTAAGGTAAGGGTTAGGGTAAGGGGTTAGGTTTAGGCTTACGGTATGGTTTAGGGTTAGGGTAAGGGTTAGCATTTCACCATTAAAGAACTCTTACATTCCTTACCTTATCTGTCTCCGGCCTGGCTTACATTAGCTAAATCTCTCTTGCGCATCTCGAAGGAGCGATGCGGCATCTCCGTAATGCTCAGAGCTTCCAGACCCAGCTATCATACTATTACCATGGCTTCTCTCATGTCCCCGCATGGGGAGCTGGAGCTGACAGAGGGAGCTCATCTGCACTCTCCCCGGATTCAAACCTCCAACCTGTCAATCTTCAGTCCTGCCAGCACACGAGTTTAACCCATTGCGCCACCAGGGACCAGCTAACACCTTCCAACAAAGGATCCCCCGGGCAGCAACCAGCTAGGCATTGAAGCTGCAAGGCCATTAAATGCTAATCAAGGTGGCCAATTGGAACATTCATACTTTCCTTCTACAGACAAGTTTTTTCTTCCACCCTGGACAGTCCACATTTTCCCATTTTCCTCGTTTCCAACAGACCCCTCAACCTTTGAGGATGCCTACCATAGATGCAGGCGAAACGTCAGGAGGGAATGCTTCTGGAACATGGCCAACATGGAAAACTCACAGCAAACCAGTGCCTTCGACAATGCCAAGTTTTTAACTTTGTGGTTTTTAAATATATTATAACTGTATTCTCAATTTGCTTCTGAGGCGATAAATAAAAAGTGGCCCCAGAGGGAGAGCTTTGGGTTTAGATCAGATGAGAAACCAGGAGGAGGAGGCTTTCCTGGGGCCTGAAGGGAGGAGGAGGAGGAGGAGGAAGCGCCCTCCTCCTCCTCTCCTCCTCCTCCTCCTCCTCCTCCTCCTCCTCCGCCTCCTTGACCCGGGAAGGAGGAGCCTGCGCGCAGAGGCAGAGCCGAGTTCAGCTGGCGGCTCCTGCTTTCTGGGCTGCACCGTGGCTTCTCCTTCTCTTCCCTGGGCCTCCGTCCAGGTAGGTGCCTGAAGCGCCTTCCCAGCGCCTGCCTGCCTGCCTGCCTGCCTCCCTCCCTTCCTTCTTTCCTCCTTTCTCCCCGGGCTTTTCTTGATCTCTGCTTCCTGCCTTTTCTGACTCCAGAGTAGCGCCTCCATAGTTGTGAATTTCCTTTTGGGATCGGGGGAGGGGGGGGGGAGGTTGTTTATTTCTCTTCCTTAGTGTATTCTGCCATTGAATGTTTGCCTTTTTTTGTTATTGGAAACCTCTCTGAGTCCACTGTGTTGTCGAAGCTTTCATGGGCAGTATCATTGGATTGCTGTGAGTTTTCTGGGCTGTATGGCCATGTTCCAGAAGCATTCTCTCCTGACGTTTCGCCTGCATCTATGGCAGGCATCCTCAGAGGTTGTGAGATCTGTTGGGATTTAGGCAAGTGGGGTTTATATACCTGTGGAATAATGTCCAGGGTGGGAGAAAGAACTCTTGTCTGCTTGTGTCAAGTGTGAATGTTGTAATTTGCCACCTTGATTAGCATTGAATGGCCTTGCAGCTTCAAAGCCTGGCTGTTTGCTGCCTGTGGGGGATAGCGTGATTTTAACAGCAATTGCGATGTGCGTATGTTTTGATCTGTATTTAATTTTAATTTTAAAATATTTAATTTTAATGTATTTTAACATTGTTGTTCAAAGGCATTGAATAGTTGACATATGTAAAGCTGCCTTGAGTCCCCTTTGGGGTAGAGAAAGGCGGAATACAAATAGATTAAGTACATAAATAAATAAAATTGTTGGGAGGTGTTAGCTGGCCCTGATTATTTCTTGTCTGAAATTCCCCTTGGTTTTTGTGTTCCTCATTATTTACTGTCTGGATTTTAGAGCTTTTTTTTTAAATACTGGTATCCAGATTTTGTTCATTTTCATGGTTTCCTCCTTTCTGTTGAAATTGTCCATGTGCTTGTGGATTTCAGTGGCTTCTCTGTGTAGTCTAACATGGTGGTTGTGAGAGTGGTCCAGTATTTCTGTGTCCTCAAGTAATATGCTGTGTCCAGGTTGGTTCATCAGGTGGCTGAGTCCCTTTGGGGAGATAGGGTTGTATAAAAATAAAGATTATTGTTGTTGTTATTGTTGTTGTTGTTATTTCTGCAGACCCCTTTTTTTAATTTCACCCAACTCTTGCTCCAGAGCAGGCCTACTTCCAGGAGCGCCACTCACTCACTGCATAGAAGGCCTGCCAAAAGCCAGGCTGCATCTGCTCTCACTGCCATGGCTTCCTGGGTGTTGTAGTTCAGTGAGGCACCAGCCCTCTTTGGCATAGAAGGCAAAAGGCCTCATGAAACAAGGGCTCCTTCCAGACAGGCCCTATATCCCAGGATCTGATCCCAGTTTTTGTGTTTATCCCAGATTATCGGGCAGTGGGGACTCATATAATCCAGTTTAAAGGAGAAAACCTGGAATGAGATCCTAGGATCTGAGGCCAATCTGGATACAGGGCCAGCCTGCAGGCATGGCAGTTCAGAGTGCCTTCATTCTACAGCAAACATGGGCCAACTTCAGTCTACAGTCTCCAGCCTCCTCTATGGACACCCCCCCCCCCCCCCCCCCCGTGGTGCAGTGGCTTAAACCAGGGGTCCTCAAACTTTTTAAACAGAGGGCCAGGCCACAGTCCCCCAAACTGTTAGAGGGCCAGATTATAATTTAAAAAAAATATTACTATGCACACTGCACATATCTCATTTGTAGTGCAAAAAACACTTTAAAACAATTGAATGAAGAACAATTTTAACAAATATAAATTTATTAGTATTTCAGTGGGAAGTGTGGGCCCACTTTTGGTTGATGAGTAGGATTGTTGTTGTTGTTGTTGTTGTTGTTGTTGTTGTGTGCTTTCAAGTCGTTTCAGACTTAAATTGACCCTGAGCAAGGGCCGGGTAAATGAACTTGGAGGGCCGCATTCGGCCCTCGGGCCTTAGTTTGAGGACCCCTGGGTTAAACTCTTGTGCTGGCAGGACTGAAGACCAACAGGTCGCAGGTTTGAATCTGAGGAGGACATGGATGAGCTCCCTCTGTAAGCTCCAGCTCCCCATGCGGAGAGAAGCCTCCCACAAGGATCGTAAAACATCAAAACATCCAGGCATCCTCTGGGCAATGTCCTTGCAGACGGCCAGTTCTCTCAGACCAGAAGCGACTTGCCGTTTCTCAAATCACTCCTGACATGAAAAAAAAAGCCTTCTCTGTCAAAGAGTTCTGTGCCTCAGCAAAATGCAAATCCCATGATTCCATAGCTTTGAGACATGGCAGTTGAGGTTGTGTCAACTGCATTAATTCTAGTGTAAAAGTAAATGTATCCTTCCTTTCACCAGATTCTTAAAGGGATTCAGGGTCCAGAAAAGGTTGAAATCCACTGAACTAATTATACTGTTAGATTGGAAACTTTTCCCTCTTTCATTCTCTTTTTATATTCTTGATTCTTGAGACACCACACCACGAAGGGTTTTGATTTGCCTTGGAAAATAAGTTTTCAAATTTCTCAGAGTGCCTTTTATTGAGCAGTATTATTTCTTTCCTAAACCCTTTTCATTAAAAAAAATGTCCTCCCTTTCTCTTTCTCCTTTCCCCTACTTACCCTGTTTGTCAGCAAGAGCAAAGTACATTGTCCTTTGCTTCAGGCTGTGGTTTATTTTCCCCTCCCTTCCCAAGCTGCCAGAGGCAGTTTTAGCTCCGAGGTCCTCTTGGGTGGGCATCTCCCTGCTTATATCAAAACAAACTAAGCACAACACACGTTTTATCTTGATGAACATTAAATTGAGGATTGTGATTCTTAAATCCTTAGGATTTTCTCCTAACTGCTGACTGTGTGTTGTGATTGGGGGCCAGGAGTATAAGATAGGTAGAGTCTGGTAAAGTTATGTTTTTGATTCCAACTTGGGGGTCCTAGCCATCCAAAAAAGTAACTTTGCTATGTTCTCAAAGTAGGGTTCTTTGGGAAAGAGCCAGTCACATGTGCAGTGACACCCAGGAAGTGTTTTAAAAGTCAGGACACCTTTAAAAGTCTAGTTCAGAATTTCTCAACCTGTGGGTCACCAAAGAACATCAGAAAAAAAGTATTTTCTATTGGTCATGGGGATTCTGTGTGGGAAGTTTGGCCCAATTCTATTGTTGATGGGGCTCAGAATGCTCTTTGATTGTAGGTGAACTACACATCCCAGCCACTACAACTCCCAAATGTCAAAGGCTATTTTCCCCAAACTCCACCAGTGTTCACATTTGGGCATATTGAGTATTCGTGCAAAGTTTGGCTCGAATCCATCATTGATTGACTCCACAGTGCTCTCTGGATGTAGGTGAGCTACAACTCCAAAACTCAAGGTCAATGCCCACTAAACCAATGGTTCTCAACCTGGGGTCCCCAGATGTTTTTGGCCTTCAACTCACAGAAATCCTAACAGCTGGTAAACTGGTTGGGATTTCTGGGAGTTGTAGGCCAAAAACATCTGGGGACCCCAGGTTGAGAACCACTGCACTAAACCCTTCCAGTATTTTATGTTGGTCATGGGAGTTCTGAGTGCCAAGTTTGGTTCAATTCCATCGTTAGTGGGGTTCGGAATGCTCTTTGATTGTAGGTAAACTCTAACTCCCAGCAACTACAACTCCCAAATGACAAAATCAATCTTTCCCAACCCCACCACTATTCAGATTTGGGTATATCGGGTATTTGTGCCAAATTTGGTCCAGTCAATGAAAATACATCTGGCATATCAGATATTTACATGACGATTCATAACCATAGCAAAATGACAGTTTTGAAGTAGTAACCAAAATAATTTTATGGTTGGGGGTCACCACAACATGAGGAACTGTATTAAGGGGTTGCGGCAGTAGGAAGGTTGAAAACCACTGGTCTAGTTCAAGGATAAAATTGTGACTTCCAACACTGGTAGGTGATGTGGCTTGGTGAGTTACCCTGTTTTCTGTTTCAGGAAGAACAAAAAATAATATGCTTTTATGAAGCAGGGCCCCCATCCTATTCTTTGTGGGGAAGTACATAGCAGGATTGTTGTATGAGAGAAGAATTATTAGCATGTAATCAGCCAGTGTGATTTGTGTAATAAACCGAGATTTGGGAGATCAAGGTTCAAGTCCTCACTAAGCCATAAAACTCACTCACTAACCATGGGCCATTGAAATCCACAAGTATGTGGACAATTTCGACAGAAAAGGGGAAACCATGAAAATGAACAAAATCTGACTACCAGTATTAAGAAACTCTAAAATCAGGACAGTAAATAAAGAACAACACTCAGAAAACAGGGGAATTCTAGGCATAAAACAATCAGGGCCACTAACACCTCCCAGCAACCCCCAGACAGGAAGCAGCCGGGCTTTGAAGCTACAGGGCTATTCAATGCTAATCAAGGTGGCCAATTGCCTCCAACAGACAAGAGTTCTTTCTCCCACCCTGGACATTCCACAGATATGTAAACCCCACTTGCCTCATTTCCAACAGACCTCACAACCTCTGAAGATGCCTGCCATAGATGTGGGTGAAACATCAGGAGAGAATGCTTCTGGAACATGGCCATACAGCCCAGAAAACTCCCAGCAAGGCATGGACTATAATTTTTCTCAAGCCAAGTTTAAGTGAAGTTGATCTTGCCAAATGAAGTTACAGTTTTGAAATCTAAAACAACTTTGCGAAAATTACCTCTCTGTGAACTTGCACTGTACGTGGTTACAATGAAGCTGGTTCTTACCTCATTGAATGTGTGTGTACATGTATTTTCCATTCAAACTATGGCAATTCCATGCATTCCAAAGAGCTTCTTTGGCAAAAGAGAGAGAGAGAGAGAGATGGTTTCTGTTCCTCTGGAAAATTCACTTACATCCTCATACCTGCCAGACCTAACTCTGCTTAGCTTTCAAAATGAAGTAAGATCTGATTTATGCAAGGTTGTTAGACACCAAATAGCACTCTTGAAAATGTCTGCTCCTTGAATATTATAGGTAGGCACCTCTTTATGGAGA